GTTAAAACAACAGTTGTTCAGTTGCTGCAGCAACGTATGAAGTCACTAAAAATAAGTTCCAAGAGGTAACTGTATATGGCAAAGGGCAACAGCACACAGAAAAGCTGGATCTGAAGTATTACTACTGAAAATACGTTGTATTTGAAAATGAAAGGCAAAGCTTCATGAAACCTCTATAAAGCTGGACAGTGGATCAGTGTTTTACATATTATGAACTGCGTACAGTATGTCCTCAAACTTATCAGATAAGAATACGTTAAACTGACTTTGGCTTAATAAACTAGCATGAGAAACTGTAGTGTAACGTACTGAGCACTGGCTTGGAGGCCAGCAAACTCAGGTTATGTTCCTCAGCTTGACCACAGCTTCAGTTTATGCAAGTCATTTTGCTTCTCTGTTCCTCTGCATCTGTTCCTAATACTAATCATTTAAACTGTAACCTCTTCATAGTGAGGACTGCTTTTGAACTTAATTTAAACTGCCTGAAGAATAGGGTGTTAATCTCCACTGTACGAACTCTTAAGTATTCACAGTAATAACAAAAAACATTCCTCCAAGCAGCACTCTTATAAAAAATAACCATGTCAGCTACTCCCTGGAAATCAGATCCCAAATGACGTATAGACGCATTGTGTTAATACTCAGTTTAAGTGTTGACAGAAAATATTCCAACTGCACCTTTAACTCATCTCATTATTAATGTCATTTATCTAAAGTTAGCAGCGACGTGCTAGTCAGCTTGAAGCCCCGCAGTGTGCTGGATGACAACAGAAATAACTAGTCCATGAAAGCAGGTGGATGAGATAAACTGGTTGGGGCGGGGAGAGAGAAGTTACCAAAAGGATGCAGTGCAAATGTTATCATGGTCATTCACAACAGCATGACTCTGTTTCAACCTCAGAAACTCAAAATCTCAGAGAGGGGCAGTTAGCCAGCAGGCCATAAAAATTAATCCTCTCTATCCTGGGTATTTGGGAAGGAGTTATAAACAAAAACTCTCCGGGAAGTGGAATGGAGGAAGCGTTTTTAGGGGTAAAGGCCACTCCACATCTTTTTTCCATCACGGCACAGGAGGGCAAGGACTGTGTGAAGAACAGCAGGTAACTGACTGCATGTTAAATTCCCTGGTTGCAGAAAACTCAGGATGTTCTCAAAATAAAACAAAACCAGGAATAGGACATATTGGATGGTACAAGTTGTAAACAGGAAATAATGAAACTGACTGAAAAAGCTGTGGTGAGTAGCTGAGGAGGCCTTAATGCTGGTGATGATTTCTTAAGAGGAAGGCATGGAAAGGGTCAGAAGAAGTGTTGATGGAGGAAACCAACCGAAGGAGGATTGGAAAGTATGCCTGACAAGTGTATTAAGAGATCCTGACAATGACCATGACCAAAGAAAAAAAATAAAAAAGCTTTGTAGCCTCTGCTGCTTCAAAATGCACAGTGGTAACCTAGAACAGAACATTTGCATGACACTAGGATTTCAAAGTAAAATCTTTTACCCTTCAACAACAATATATTTTAGAGAGGGCAGAAAAACTACTTAACCTATGGCAGAGGCTCTGGGCAGCCTCTGCTATTTGAAGAGAAGCAGCTTCTGATAGCTGAGGAGAAAGGCTTGATAATAATTCTGATCCTAGGCAGATTTTTTAATCTCCTTTTAAAATTAAGATTCTTACAGAGTGAATAATTCACCACTTCTCTCTGGAAATGAAACTTAAGCATAGCCTAAGTAGTTGGGGTTTTGCAGGGTTCCAAGAACACAGAACAAAACTGCAAGACACTTGGCAAGTATTTACTTCAACACTGGTGAAAAAGGATTGGGAATGAAGATTCCCATGAGGTATAACTTCATAAAGCCAGGTAAGACATATATTTCCCTTCCTGAGTGAGTCTCAGCTCCCAGAGCAGGAAAGGTGAGCAGAATCAGAGAGGAAGTAGACCTGGTCCTTGGGGAAGGGTGTTCCTTGCAACAGTGATCCTTCTTGCCAGTCCAGGAGCAATGTTGACTAACAGAAAGAACTGGCTTTGAAACAGGACCTGTAGGAGTTGTAAAACAAAGAGAAAATACAGGGTGGGAGGTACAAAGAAAGCTCCAAGAAGTAGACCGGATACCACACCCTTAACTTATAATGCCAGGAGGAGAGGAGGTGGCAAGGCCCTCATGGAAACCTCTCAATGGAAAGTTCAGGACGTTGAACTCAGTGTGAATAGGTGCCTTTCGTTTCCAATATGCATAAACAAGGGTATATGCCAGCATCCTTCATGAAAACAAACTGAAGCTGGCTTGACATGCCCTGGTTATCACAGATAAAAAGACCTGGGAGAGGAACAGGATTTGAAAAAGTACATAGATGAGCCATCCAGAATTCTCTTACTAAAGAGCTTACTAACTGGATCCATACCGATTCCCTCCCACAGCAGTGTTGATAAAGGCATACAGTAGGGAAGGCATTATCTTCTTAAGTGAAAGGAGAATAAGAAGAAAAAGGATAAATAGGTAATAGGTGAATATTACCTATTTATAGGTAAGAACAGGTAAAACTGCATAAATGTAAAAACACAAATCAAAACAGTCACTTTTTAGCAGCATTAGATAGCCTGTTTTCTGATCTGTAGCAAGGCCCATTTCTCTGTTTTCATCTGTAGATCTTTTTCAGTAGGTAGATGCTCATTTGTCCACTGAAGTCTGCCTCGCCAAGCAATCAGTGATACAAGTTGCATTCGCTACAATCAGATGAAGAAACCCTACAGGTTAAGGAGGCTTCTTAACTGGACAACAAACACGTGCTGCAGGTGATGCCGAATTGTTCTCCTTTCATTAATGAGGGCAGGGGATCCTTAGACAAACCAGTAATGCTCAGATAATCAGTGATATGACCTCTGGACAAATTCCAGAATTTAATGGGCTTACAAGGTTTTAGAGAGCAGAAGCACTGGTGGTTCAGTTATTAACTAAGAGCATGTCCAAACGACTAAATATCTGGGCATTATCATTCCTACTTCTGGATGAATACTAATCATCGAAGCAATTCTCAAGCTTCTGTTATTGCAGAAGTGCTAATCCCATTTTGCAGATGAATAACCGAGGGAGAAAGTTTAAGTGACAACAGTGAAACTCAACATCAGAGCTAGGATTAAATTTAGAAGAATCATATGTTTTAGCAAAGTTAACAGAATTAACACACACAGATAAGGATCACAACCGGCTACCATTTCCACAATTCCTCTTCCACTAGTAATGCTCCAGACACTACTGGCTTTCCAAGGATCACAGGGATCCCACTCCACCAACAAACATCCAGGTACTGTTGCTCATCAATTGACTGCAAATTACTTGTCCCACATACTGCTTGTGACTTCATCTCATCCAGAAGCCAGCCTTGGTCTGTACCTCATAGTACACAATACTCGAGGCATCTTGAACAGACCGTTTTTGCTCTTTGATGGACTACAGACATCCTTTGCTCATAGTCTGTTATCAAGCTACTCAGAAGTTACTTCTTCAAGCTTCTTATATTTTCAGTTATGCAACTACAATTAAATTTCATATTTATCAGTGGATTGCCTTAGTCTACACATTTCATCCATAACTCAGCTGGTGCCATCTTTATCCAGACTTAGATGCTTATTGGGTCATAGCAATGTTACACGCTTAGAACGCAGCGTTAACGCTTTGGGACACAAAAGCATGTGTCATATATAACTGGTAATGCCACTGTCTGTCTACGCAGGTTGAATATGAATAATGCACACAATATAGACAAGCTAATGACTGAGGCATACTCCTTAAAAAGAGTACGAAAGTAGGCTGACATTAAATTTTTGCAAATTATTACTCAGTAAGAATTGCACATCTCTGTACTTGAAGATCAATATCTCATTGAAATGTATTGAAAATATTGTGCTAGTTGTAAAAAAAAAAACATGGTCTTTACAATAAGGTAGTATCTTCCCCCAGTTCATAGGTTTTGGTTTGTTTTGGTTTTTTTTCCTTCCAAATTGCTTTTATGCCATGTGCCAACTGATACATCATAATTCTTCAGACAGGAGAATTACTCTGGCTTTTCAACCCCACAGCTACTAAGTGGCTAGAGAGGGATACAGTACTGAGGATTCATTAGCAGAGATGTTTGCTGGTATCTCACGCTTGATCCAAACGTGTTTCCATAACAAACCAAGGATGGAGAAAGCCAGGATTTAATCAAACAGACTTTTCTGTTATCTTCCCGCTATCCTACAACTGAAACAAGAATGGGGCACTCACTACTTATATCAATGCTGCAGGTGGACACTAATCGATGTATTTAAACAACAAAATGTGCCATATAAGTTGACAGACGGCAACTACACTACCTCATGTTTTATTGATTGCAATTTAGGGATACTGGCTCCTCAGCTTGTAATCAAATATTGCATCACCAATTCACATCAATTTGATATCAATTTAATCAGAACTAAGAAGCTTTCTTACATATCACTATATTTGTACAAAGTTAATAGGATTCCTATGGATTATATTGGCTTCTCTAACATGTTGTTCTGGGGACAGAGGAATAGAATTAATTACTACCAGAGATAGTTTTGCTCGAGTGATCAAATTCCAGTCACCTCTGCCCTGGCAATTCTTACCAGTGTTAGTAATGAATAACGGTATTTTACTGTTCTTACAGTCTTCCCAGAGATCTCGGACAACTCCACATGTATTAGCAGGCTTCTGAAGGGGTGTTATCTTCCTTTCACAGACAGCACAGTCAAGCACAGCATGGCACGGTGACCCAAGTCACAGAACAAGCCAACAGCGAGCTAAAAACTGATATTAGGGGTCCATTCACTCTACTTAAAAAAACGCAATACATACAAGGAGTCTTGATCTCAGACTCTAAAAGTAGCTGTCTGTATTTTAAATGCCGGAAAGAGGATGAATGAGGCTCCTGTATCTATAAAAAGGGATTTGAATTATCTTCCGATTAGACAATTGAGTGTGACCGCAGTTCTTACCTGTAGGTTTCAATTTCCAGGATGAGGCCTGCTTTCACCTGCAGTAGTTCTTGATAGTCCTTCAGGTAATCTGTGATTGACATGGTCAGGAACTGCTTTTCTTCTTCTAGGGCATCGATTATCCTCTAAACAGAAATACCGATTTTTAGTTTTGAACTAACATCAAAATCTGTACACTTGAATGCCTAATAACTTAAAACTTTTAATTAAAAAAATAATGAGAGAACTATAAATCAGTATGTTCCATCACTTCAAAAACCAGAACGAATCAGCTCTACAACCTCCCCATACACAATCTGAAATACATTGTTACTGAAGCAGAATTTTATGCTAAGATTTCATTTTATGCCTTACTAAGCTAGTTAAATATTTCAGTAAAACCCATTTAGATGCCCCGTACAACAGTTATCAAGTATACATAGCAAAGATAATACACTCCTTTATAAATGTGACTTAAATGGGACTCATTTTCTCATTTTAAGAGCATAGATGTACATGCTTAAACCACACTTGAGATCAGGAATCTCGGCGATTGCTTTCCCATGAGAACCTGGCCTATTTCTCTTTATCAGTATTTTCAGCTCCATAGACGTGTGGGTCCAAATCAGTTTTTGGATTCTAGCACCTGGAGACATTCATAGTGCCTAGAAGGTGAAGGATGAACCTCCAGCAGTTCCTTCAAGCCAAGTTTTCTACAATACTTGGACACCAGCTTCGTAGTCCACCCAGCTTTGTCCTAACTGCTACTCAGAAGATATACAAGGGATTGCTCATTTTCATCTTGACAACTAAATATAACTTTGTACCTTCATAGGTACGTGTGTGTATGGGAGGAGTGTAGTTTATAGACACTCACAAATGACTTGAGAGCAGCAGCACTGATGAGACAGTAGGTAGGGCCTGCCCACCTTTCTTTAAGAAGTTTTGGAAATGGAGAAAGGGACTGATGAGCAGAAAAATACCAAAGTCCAAAATGATCTAAATTTGAACATACTTTGAAATACGAAATAGAAGATTAAATACCGAATAACTGTACACAACAGAAAAAGCAATGAAGACTTATGCAACAGAACATTAATGATTGATTTAGACCAAGACAACTGACTCTCACGCTCTTGAAAAGAACATCGCAGAAAGCAAGTGCTTTAATAATCACTGGTGTTACCTCTCACATGAAGGGCAAATTGCCATCTTCCAGAAAATAAGCCCTCCCGTGATAATTGAGAGGAGCTTGTTCAGTACAGACTCAGAACTAAAAGTATCAGTATTAGCTGTTCGGTGAGGTTCTTAATGGTTTCCTCGCTGTGGATAGAATCTACTAACCCAGACCAATCCTCCTCAGCCGGCAGATTGATGCTAACTGAAATGCTACAGATTATACTTTGTTCTGGGGGCTGGGAGGACAGAAATTAAATCTCAGCAAAGGCCTGATTCTATTTTGTTCACATCACTCTGCGCTATGCAAGGACACTGAACTGTCATTTACAGAGCAAAGTCTCATACACATGTACCACACTGAACAGGAATTCATGACAGCATATTTTAGATTGCATCCTAACAAATGCTTTGCAATATAAACTGGAAAATCAAGACACTGATAGTCTAGTTTTAAAAAATTCAAAATACATCATTTATATGCAGCAAGTGTTCAAGTATCACAGTATGAGCAATAGCATAAAAATGAAGATACAGCAGGGGACTCCCCAGGCTGGTTAATGCCAGTATGCAATGTTAATGCCAATACGCTAGGCAGAAGTAAGGTTTAAGAACTAAGAATATAGTGCCGGCATTTCAAACATTAATAGTCCTTTTTTTTTTTTTTTAAGTAAAAATAAAAAGAAAGCTTTATGAAGGAAGCTGCCTGTATCTTCATATACATGTGGGTATATCTATATAACACATATTAATCTATTTCTTCATTTGCATTTGCAGCTGTTGTAAAATGATTACACTGATGTTTTCTTTGACATGACAAACCTTGCCTACAGTCTTCAGCATACCTAAAACTCCCTTTTTATGGCAGAAGACAAATCATATCTGCGTATCTGAAAAAGCACTATCAACCATCCAACAGCCTCATCCAGGCTGCAATGGAGGTAACATCCTGTATGGTCACACACAGCGGCAAGCAGAACCGCTGACCTTTAGCAGCTCCAAGGCAACAATCCTGTTCAAGAACTGACACAATGGAAAATCCCAAGATGAGAAGCGAAGAAAAGTGCCAGGCCCTGCTTTTGAAAGGAAAAGGCTATCAAGCAAGAACGGACAGGGTGTTGACAGAACCAGAGGAGTTAGCAAAAGGAGCAAAAGACGAAAGACTAGATGTCTATGGGACAAACCCCTAAAGGTGGTAAAAGCTCCGATACAAAACATGAAGCGATTCGGGTGTTTGCTGCCTCCCTGATTAAACATAGAGACTAACCTATACATGTGCATGCATATGTTAAAAAGAGCTTCATAATGCACAGGTCTTGCTCCAGTCCCAGAAGAACCTATACAGGGAATCTGTACGCTGGGCTACAGAGTGCGTGGAGCTCGGAAAGACTGGGGATATTCAGACCTATCCTAAGACATAGGAACTTCAGTCCCTCATCCCCAAGTTCTGCAGTCTGGGTTTGAAAAGCCACCTAGATTCTACCCACTGGATTTGGAGAGCACTCGGGATCCAAAAGTTTGAGTTAAATACAGCGTCCTAATGATTACCATAAGGGGCTACATAACTCGGCCAGCTGTGTAATAGTTCCAAAGGAATTCATCCCAACAGGAGCAGACGTCGTATAGACTGGATGGCAGCCAGCCAGCTGTCTAGCCCTCCAGTCACTGATGCTTAAACATAATGCAGTGGACAATTGGTCTTAAGTCCTGTTTCCAAGTACGCCGAAAAGTACATAAACTGCTTTGGCAAAGTCCAGGAGATTGCAAGCCGATGAACTTGCATTTTGCAAAAGGTAACCTGTATTGTTGCAGCTGTGTTTGCTTCACACGGGACTTTCTTGGAAAGATCTGTTTCTCAACCACATCAAACCCATGCCCCCCCAAATCCCGGTGATGTCCTGCTAGAACTGAGTAACTGAACAGAAGTGATTTTCTCACCCTTCAGATGTTCCTTTCCAGGCAGCAGTGGGAAATTTTAGAAGGGCAGCAGGGGGAAAAGAATTTACTTGGGTTGTCCAAGCTGCACCTACTCAGGGAATAAAGAGGGGTTTCCAGGCTCCAGCCCTTTCCATCTGGTACTATTTACCGATCCCATAGCTCATTCAGTGGCTCCGCAGGGAAGGAACTGACACTCTGCGCTTAGCTGGCTAGAAAGTGGTACACAAAAAAATGCACATGACGTATTGATACTATATGTTCATTTGACAAGATGTTTTCTTCTTCTCTGGAGTTCACAACACTGACGCAGGAACCGATCCTAAACCCACGGTACTAGTGAAAAATTTCTGTCTCTTTTCAAAGCAGCAGGATGAGCCATGGCCATTTTTACATCCAAAAAATACAGGGCTTTCTCAAATCGCTGAGAGTTTTTGCCTAAGTATTGTCACAGCACACAGCTAAAATTATGGAAGTAGGAGACCTACTGAGTTCATCCCTTTAGCACCCAGGACCAGTGAAAATTTTCCAAACAATGTATGATTTACAGCTTGCCTGGTTCAACTAAATTTGTAACTCCAAATACATACTTCTATTTAACACTGCTGAAAGCTTTAGTGAGGATAAGGACAGTGCAGGAGGCACAGATGGACATATAAGGCGACTGCATGATATATGGAAAATATGAATAAATCTAATTGCCACTGCAGCTGCAATGAACAATAATCACTTGACTTAAATCTGTACATGCCTATCATTTCTATGTGTGACACACAATAAATAAGCATGGAACAGATGCTCTTTAAAGAGTAGTTTAAAATCCATGCTGAACATACTTTCACCAATAAAAGAAATAATGAGGGAGGAACAAAAGCTTTGATCGCAAGAACAAAACCTGAAACAGCTGCTTCTACACAGTCTGTAGTTTTTCTTCCTGGATGTGAGCAAAAGATATTTTATTCCGCACGTACAGTAGACTGGCCACTGGAAAAGGCCTTTTTCATTAGAAACCAAACATTTTAAATATGAAACAGTTCAGAAGTTATAAACCTTATGATATCATTTTCACCAGAATTTAAATATTATCTAGATATACATTCAAAGATAAGACAGCTCACATGTTTTCAGGTTGGCTATCAAAGCACTTTTTTCTTCTTGTATTACTAAGACTTGAAGCTATTGTTCCTGTAAAATCCAAAGCACGCCAAATGCTCGTGAGAGTAAAACAGAAGAAGTTTTTCAATACTCCATTTTTGAGTATTGAATCAGGACAATTCAAGTGCATGCATTGATTTTGATTATCTGACTTCTACAACAGGTTGCTCTGTCTCCACTTACTCTTCTGAATAAAATTCTTTAAAAATACAACCAGATACAGAGACAACACACTGGTATAAAAACACCTTGCTGAGTTGGAAGAAAAGAGTTAGGTATCTGAACACACTCATTCTAACTGGCTTTAAAAGAAAAACTTGTAGCATGGATAGTGAGCTATACAAAATGCTCTTATTAAAATATTTAAAGGTTTTCAATTTGAGCAACGATGATCGAAGATCAATGAGATTTTCATTATAAATCCCTAATAACAAATATAGACAGCAAGGAAGACATATTTTGGAAATCAAAGTAACTTTAAATATTAGTAGGCTTATGTACCTTTATATAAACTTATACACCTTAAAAAACTGGGAAAAAATGAAGTGTGTTTTTTTCTTCTTTACATTTTCACCTGGCTTTGACTGACGGATGGATTTAATTAATGAGGGATTTACATAAAACATCTTCTTCTAAAGCTTTGGAAAGGTTTACATACATGATTGGAAGAATGAATTGTCCTGTCAAAAATGAAAATAAAATTAATTTAAAAGTTAAAAGCCTTTCTGATTACTTCTTACATACCCAACCTGCCTCGGTTCACAGCATCTACAAACTATGCAACTTGCAAACAATCTAACAACGTACAAAAACCAGACACACAGCAACAGGTCCCAGTCCTTTCCCAATTGCCAGCATCTCCATAATCTACCACGGCTGTTGGAGACAGTGTGATCATTAGCACACGGGGTTCAGACAAACACCGAGCTCCAGCAGAGTGTTAACGAAAGGTCTAACAACGAACAAAAGAAACGTTGCCCTCAGGAAATCGATCCATGGTCTGGATGGTCTAATACATGCTCTCCACTCTAAATTTGATGCACTGATATTTTGCTGTTCCAGCATTTGCTGATCTGTTCACACGCACAGGGTTATTATACATCGTTATACCAAACGTTATTCTGACAGCAAGCAAATTCCCAGCTACAGATGAGAATATATATACATATATACAGATGCTATAACCCTCTAACACCACCAAACACTGTTATCGAACAGATAACAGTCATCTACATCGTTGAAGTTTTATTTCGAAAAATTCCCACCCTGCTCACTGCCTCTAGCACAGTAACGAGTCTTCCTGCCTTTAAGCAACTAAAAGTTTCCTTAACTACGCTAGGGCCCACAAGCTTTTCTCTAGGCTTAGGCTGCACAGGAGCGTGTGTAAAGCAGGAAGAAAAGTCAGATCACTTCTCTGATCACGACAAGTCAACCCCAAGTCTCAGGCTAGAAGGGAAGCTTCATGTCCCACCGTACAGGGACTCGGTTCATCTGCTCCCAGGGACTGCTCCATGTCCCATGTGCTCATGCCAACCCGAGCCGGAGCCCTGGCAAGCCTGTGCACCAGCTCCATGCTCCTGGGTACTTGCCGAGGGCAGGTTGGTAAGGGAGCACCTGTCACCAGGAAGACGTTCTCAGGGTCACCGTCTCCCTTTTGATCCCCACCCTTCGCACCCAGCTCTCCCCAAACAGAGCAGCGGGTCTCAAAGGGCCTCCCTGCTCCACCCAGAGAAGGGCTCAGCAGCAACCACCTTGGGCCCAGCTTGCTGGACCACCTCCTCTTCCAGCCTGGGGAAATCCTACTGCAGGGAGGCAAAGTGGGGCGAGGAAGCCCTGGCCCAGGCAGGGTCTGAGGGAGCCTTCAGAGGGGTTCAGGCAGTTCCCGCAGCAGACGGAACGGGAGGGACGGGAGTTACTCTAACGGAGCAGAGTGCCAGGGTCGTGGGAAATCGGGCTCACATCTCACGACGGGCCAGAACTTAAGGGCAAAAGCGAGTGGGAGGGCGGAAGGAGACTCAGCGGAGCACCAAAACAAGCATCGGAGGGCGGGAAGGAAGCGGCACGGCTAGAGAGTCGCGGCGAGGAGGGCTGGGAGAGGCCCGGGACCAGGGGGACACCGGCCGGGGGCCGACCCGACGCGGCGGCGGGGC